CAAAGCTACAGACGTTGACTGTGTGTGATAAGAATTTTAATCTAAAACGAGCTATTTATAACAAAATGCACAGATAGACAAGTACCTGGTACTGTTTGCTACTCAATATTTATTAACACTTAATAACCTACTTTAAATGCCACAAATACCATAGAGATAACATATTTTTGCAAGAATAAAACATTACAATTTTTCCAGAGGTGACTATTTTATTCATTAAAATTTGAGCTACTAAGGGTGCGTTCCTTTGGGATGATCCGGATCAGGATCATACCAAAGGAACGCACCCTAAGTATCCATATAAGCACCTGAATACATGTGGCTTTAAATTGCCCGTAGTAGAGAGATGTCCGCATCATGGAAGTGTCCATTTCTCAGTTATTTTAAGGCGATGTCTACACTCTACGGGACATCTTTTCGTGTCGACACGAACAGATGTTCGGTAGAGTGTGAACGGCAACGGCATAGAACTGGAACCAGTCGTTGACGCACATCAAACATCGTACCGGTGCAATTGGCGGAGAGGGTTTGTCGCACTAAATCCCAGTCTCACTTATGGGCCCAGTTGTTCGAAGACCGATTAGCGCTAAACCAGGGTTAAATTTAAATCCGGGGCTCTTTTTCTTTTGTTTCAAAGTATTTTCTCAGATAATTTTCCCCATTCTTTTTAGAGCACCCAATCACCAGATTGCAGACAAGAAGAATTAAACTGAATTTGCTTTTTAAGCTTTCATATCTGAAATCAAATTTCTCACTAACCCTGCGTTATCTTGACCCCACTTTAAACAACCCGGCCCAGGATATTTATCTCCGTCTCAGTGTGTTTCAGTTCCTCCTCCTACTTATTTACTTCCGCTACCGTCCAATTACCAGTTCATGCTGCGACTAAGACTAACAGAAACCTATTCGATATGTAACGCATCACTTTCAAGATCGGCGCAGCGCAGCTTCTCTCCGTCACAGTAATCGCGCTGAAACCACCGTTCTTGCCTGTGAGCGGAAGTCCTATCCGGTTTGGCTTTCCTGTCGACACAACAGCTATCCGGCGTGGTGTGAACATAGACTAACACGCTGAGTTCTGGTCCCACCCCGGTGATTAACCCTGCCACCTCCCGCTCCAAAGACTACGGCCCAGCGCTCTAATTTCCGTGCTATTAGCCCCGTCTATACTGCGGCTTAAAATCCAATGACATCGGAGTGTGGTGGTATCTGGTTTTTGTCTTCATAATATTCCCTTGATATGTTAATTTTCAACAACCCCCCAAATCAAAAATTTCCCAATTTACCATAATTTCAAACATCCCACCCCCATTTCTATTCAGTAAAGACACTGGAAAAATCATCCAAAAATTTTTAAACATTTATTGAACCAATTACTACGACCTTGTGGAGCCATTTTTTGACTGAATGAAATCTTGTCTAGATTTGGAAGAAAAAGGGCAGAAATAAACGCAAAACAGTGGAAAACAAGTCTTTAACCAGAATCCCTCTTAAGCTTTTGCGCAACTCGCCCATGAATCAGTGTCTTGCTAATAAGGTCACGTGTCACCAACAGATAAAGTCATTTTACAATCAAGTACAAATTTGTCTTCGATTACGTCTTCATATCAGCTGAAATCCTTACTCGACTACTCCGTTGATGCTTTACGCGTCTTCAGTTATGGAAAATCCTTTTTTTCATCTTAATTCAGTTGTATTTGTCCTTAAATCATTCTTAGTCTAATAATAACGATTGTTAGAGGAGATTTCAAAAAGTTGCCTTAGGACTAAACAAACAGCTGGTGAAGAGAAGAAATTCTAAAGACAATTGAATAAAAACCCTTTGGGTCATCTTATAGCGTTCTACAAAACATTCATTTTTCATGGTTACAGTTTCTTTCGAGAAACAGTACCTAGTGTGCCAATGGGATTGTTTATTTATCTTGGAACAAGACACCCGAACAATTGTTAGCGTTCTGTAGTTCGTGGAGTTCATCCTCGTAGAAAAACGATTTCTCACCAAATGCAGGTTTCAACTGGTCAAGCCAACTGGCTTTCTCGTCATACTTTGCGAAGAATGGTTTTCCAGTCCATTGCGGGTTACGAGCCTGTAGAAACTGCAAAACAAACACGCTTTCGTCGCCAATCTTCGCGGAACCGATTACGTGCACTTTGCCCGGAACAGCCGACATTGATGGCCCTCGGACAGTTTTCGCAACTCCAGAGACTTTTCGTGTTGCTTCCTGGTAGATTTGGAGGCCCGTGCTTAAAGGAACTTCAAAATAATGTCTGGCTCCAGTGTCTCGCTCCACAAACATATAATATGGAATGATACCAAGAGAGATCTGTTTTTGCCACATTTCCACCCAGATGCGAGGGTCTGCGTTGACGTGATTTATGAGGGGAGCCTGGGATCGAATTACTGCTCCCGTCATTCGAATGCGTCGGATAGCTTCTTTGGCGACGTGTGATTGGAGCTCACGTGGGTGGGATATGTGAGCCATGATTGCAAGATGGCGACCCGAAAGACTGACTCTTTCAAACAACCTGCAAAATAGATGTACTTTTATTTTGTTTTTTTTTTAGCAACGGAAAATTACCTGGTAATACCAGTTTTTGACTAATGAAAATGAAAATAATATATTATAATCAGTGATGGATCAAGAATAAAACGTAATCAAAATCATCGCAGTTGTAGACACAAATTTTGCAGTTGAGGAAGAAAGCCTAAAAAAAAAAA